CCCATCAGGGAGATAATCCAAGGCCACGAATTATTAGAAAAGAGATTTGCACTGCCTAGAAACTCTCAGAAACAACCAGAACCTTCAACATAATCAGAAAAAATATGCAGCAACTCATGAGGCTGAGGCAGGAGGATCACAAGTTTGAGGCCAGCCTGGGCAACTTAGCAAGACCTGTCTTAAAGCAAAATAAAAAAGAGCTGGGGGCATAGCACCCCTGGGTTCAATCTCTAGTACCAAAAATAAAATGAGAATATAGAAAGCTCAGAAGAAGGAGTCAAAATGCGTACTCTCACACAGATGACCAGGGGGTACTGATGCTAAATAATTTTCCTAAGAAAATAACCAAGCAATATGTATCACCAGCCTTAACAATTATATCAATCCTATCCGTGGTCAATCTCTTAGGAATTGGCTTATCATTTCCTAATAGATAATGTAACTTCACTTTGGTCTGGTCAAGACAAAGTTCAAAGACTAATATGTGGCTCACCCTTGTACCAGCATCCAGTTTTTTTTTCTTTTTAGTACTAGGGATTGAACCCAGAAGTGTTTTACTACTGAGGTGTATCCCCAGTCTTTTTTTTTTTTTAACTTTGAGAAGGGGTATCATTGAAGTTGCCCAGGCTGGCCTTAAACTTGTGATCCTCCTGCTGCAGTCTCCCCAGTCTCTAGGATTACAGGCATGCACCACCCTCAGCATGCTCTATTTAATGTGAGTCTGGGGTTTAATCTTTTATTAAATAACTGTATTTTGATTTTAATCTACTTATCCCATTTTTTTCCTTATATCTCATCACGAATGCTATGAAATGTCTGTGAAAAGAGGCAGAATATAAATAAGTAAAATAGGATAAGAACAGAGAAAAGAAGACTCCCAAACCTCAAAGATCAATTGTGGCATCAATATTTTACAAAATAGAGAATAACTGTATTTGGCAAACGGCAAGTAAGACTGCTTCGTGTTACAAAGTTGGGCACCATCCAGTTTCAAGGGAATCACCTCTGACCTTTTTAGGGTGCATCAGTTTAGCTGTAAGCCCTTTCTTTTTCCTTTTCCTTTTGTGGTGGGACTGTCGCCTAGCCAAAATAGAAGTCAAGTGCTCAGTCAAGACTCATCTTCTGAAGCCCCATCTACTTCTCCTTCTAGGAATTCTCACCAGGTGACTCACTCAAGGGCTTTTCCTGTCCTGATGTCTAAGATTCTTTTGAGTCCAGACAGGACTCAGAATGACTTGATTGATGTCTTTCAGCTAATTGAACAAAAGCTTGTCCAAATGTCCTGGGCTGAAATGCATCTGGCTTATCAAGAGAGGCACATAAAAGACACCTGAGTGGAACCCAGGGTTGTGCCATAAACACAACCAAAGCAAGGAAGGGAGGAGTCGTTTAACACATCAAGCCCCAAAGCGTTAACATCTTTAAAAAGAAAAGACAGTGAATGTTCTTCACTTTGAACACTTACTTGTGTTAGGGGGGAAAATGGGGTCCCTACGAGGCTGAGGAGGCCCAGGGCAGGATCAAACCCACTTTGCCATTTAAACCAGTTCAATCCTGGGCAAGTAACTTATCCTTACTCTATTTCAATTTCATGACCTATAAAATGGGCTGTTAAGAACGATTTCTCAGGATTGCTGGTAGGATTAAGTGAGGTAAAATATGTAAAGCACTATTACAGTGAGAGAGCTATAATATATATACACACATATATATATAAGTATGTATATATATATATATATATAAAAAATATCACCTTTATATATACTTACATATATAAATTCAAATATATATATATCATCTTCATATTCTTACATATATTATATATTTATATATGATTTTCTGTTATTTGAAGTATTAGTGTCCCAATCTATAAAATGATACTTACTTATTGAATGAAATTCAAATAAGACAAATGATGCTGAAAATAAAGAATGCATAATAGAAGGCCAGAACAATTATGATTGTGAAGACAGCAGTTAACACAACCATAAATTATGCTAAGCTACTTCAGACAGTATGAGTCACCTCTAATGGAACAAATGATTTTTAAAAGCAGGAGACAGCTACTGAATTAACATACAGTTTGACAAGAGGTTTGGCGCTCCTGAATGAGCAGCTGCCTTCCAGTGAATTTTGGATGAGATGTTACAAAACATGAAGTTCTCCCCTAAGGAATTGACATCCCTCCACTCCTTGAAGAGGCTGTCACTAATTTAGGAATGAAAGTCCCTTACATGAAAAAGGATGCTACAGCAGGAAGCTGACTTCCCTGGTTGGCTCAAGTTCAAGAAAACCTCACCTGGCTCCACCCCACTCCCCCAACCCCCAATAACAGAGATTCCCCTTCCTTTCTCCACTTTGCTGTGACATCTAGCTGACCACACAGAGTCATGATAGAACTTTCACCACGGATGTCCGTGGTCTAGGTCACACACCCACTTAAAACATCAGGTAACAGGTGGTCGGCCTCAGGACAATGTGCTGACTCAAAGGTTGCACCTACCTTTCTCTGACAAAGATTTTGATTCCTCCTTTCTGACAGATAACTGAGTCATTCTGTCTCAAAAGACACACTGACCACTTTGACATGAGGAGTCCAAAGTGTAAAATATCCACTAGCAATGACGAGCCCCATCCACAGCCTCCCATCAAGTCTGAAGGCCTCCCAGCCCCTTTGGGGAAGTGTTTCCACCCTCAGTGGGAGAAATAGACGCCAGTGAACTGACCACACACTTGACAAGATGTTGCTGGGTTATTAAAGGTACTCTATAGCATCTGCCCCACTTCAACACTATGAAATTTTGGAGAAAAAAAAAAGTGTGTGTGTGTGTGTGTGTGTGTGTGTAGACCCAGAAGGGGGCTTCAGAAGGGGTGAGGGGCTTTGGACCAATGTCCCCCCCATGCCAGTTAAGATGCATGGCTGTTGCAGATTCTTTGGTCATACTTTTAGAATTCAAAAGCTATAGCTCGTGGCCAGGCAAGAAGCAGGGATGAGGGAAGGAAGGAGTGGCCTGTAGTTTTAGAGAGAAAAGGATAAAAGAGGAAGAATGTGGGCACAAATGATCAGAAGTGTCCAACTGAGTGGTCCCGTAGATGGAGAGGCTTCACAACAGGGTTTCTGCATTTGGTCTTTGAGAATTCTTTGTTTAGTTGGCATATGCTTTAAAGATGTAAGCCTACACTGAGAATGGGAGACAGTTGAGGAAAAACAGAAGGACCCAGCAACCCTGGGCTCATGTCTCCTGGCAGCCACAGGTGGAGCCCAGGAGCTACTGCTCCCTAGTGCCCCCAGGTGGCCATGGGGTGAATGACTCACACAGAGGACCACCCTCCACAACCCTCACCCCTGCCCCAGGAGGACAGTTTTTCTTCTCTTGTCCCCAGAGCACTTTAATTTATGTCCTTGATCAAGTCCACTCTACTTGCTCTACAAAGGAGAAAAAGCCCAGGGTGGGAAGTCATTTTTAGTTCACACAGCATCTCCTTTACACCCAGTTAAGCACTTCCACTCTTCTTCTGGGGGCATAATCTTGAGTCAGGGAACCCACTAAAGCTTCCCCTGCCAGCTGAGCAAACTTGGACCCTAGAATTAGTTGATGGTTACTCCTTTGCCTTCTGGGACTAGTCACTGTGTTTTCCTGCACAAATAGCAGCTGTAACTGCTCCCGCATGGCAGGCCTGAGCTCAGTGCTCTCCGGCACCTTCACAAGGCACATTACTAACTCCCTTTGACAGAGCAGGATGGTAAGGCTCAGGACAAGGGGACACAGAGATGACCTAACTGCATCTGATGGCAGACCTGCCGGACTCCAAAGCCTGTGTGTCTGTAGTGTGCCTTGTTGTCTCATCACTACCCACAATCCCCCAGTTAAACAGCAACCAGAACTCAGACAGGCGGGTGGCATCACCTGCAATCCCAGCCACTCAGGAGGCTGAGCAGAAGCATGGCAAGTTTGAGGCCAGCCTGGGCAACCTAGTAAGACCCAGTCTCAAAAGGAAAATAAAAGGAATTGGGGATGTGGCTCAGTGACAGAGTACTTACCTACATACAAGAGACCCTGGGTTCCATCCTCCTACAAAAACATCAGAACTCAATGGGTTCTGAACAAACTTAAATGACAGGTCCACCCCTTTTCTGGACCTGCAGTGGGGTTTGTGCATGGCAGCAGCCCCATTGCACTAGAAGTTCCCTCTAGGAAGACACCTGCCTTGTCTATTTGGCCTCTGCATTGGAGGCTAGCAGCGGACTACTGCCTGGAGTTGTCAGTCAACAGCTTCTAATTCTAGAGTTTGATCAAATTTTACTAAAGTGCCTCTTTTTTTGTTGTTGTTGTTGTTTGTTTTTTAGTTCTTGCAATCTGTGTTCATTTTTATTTTTTAAAATGCCTCTTAGGAGGGTGCATTCCGTACCCACTGTGAGTTCTTAGAAAGGTCCTTTATTCTGGGCTCATCACTTTTCCCTTCTAGTTTTATTTAACTGTGGGGAGGTAGACATCAAAGTGCATGAAATCACTTGGTTGGTTTTGTTTCTACAAACAAAACAAGTTGCTCTTAGATTTGCTTTCTCCAAATTAGACAACAAAATTCTACTCTAAGGGGTCAGGAAGAAATAAAAAATATAAAGAACATATGGGCAAGCTAGGTGCAGTGGTGCACACCTGTAATACCAGCTGCTCGGGAGGCTGGGGTAGGAGGAGCGCACGTTCAAGGCCAGCTGGAACAACTTAGAAAGATGCTGTCTCAAAAAATAAAAGGGGCTCGAGATGTAGTTCAGTGGTGAGTGTCTCTGGGTTTGGTCTTCAGTACTAGGGGGAGGGGATAAAGGTCATATACGCAAAGTACTTGAATACGAAAGCAGACGGTTATCTTAGAAGTAACAGTGATTAGTAAGTAATAATACTATTTATGGGTGAGGGATATAGCTCAGTAGTAGAGTGGTTGCCCAGCAAGCATGAGACCCTGGGTTCCATCCCCAGAATACTACCACGAATAGTACTTACAACCCATATCATGACCAGTCTTCTGGATAAGTAAGGATCAATATTCCAGTGTGTGAATGGAAGAAACGTGATGTAGAACACTTCTTGACCCAAAGCAGCCGAAAATCGGAAGAGGTAATAGTAGAAGTAGTTCTTCACGATGTACTTCTGTACATAAGCCTAGAAGAGAAAAGTTGGAAGAGTGTGAGTTCATGTCACCATCAGCAGGCCTTGATCTCCAAGGTGCTGCTCCTCTCTGGTCATGTCATTGTGGTGTCCTTGGTGTCTGCATTGCCATTAAACACCTGTGGATCCCAGTTTGTCCACATAAACATTCAAGACATTAGTTCTTCATCAACCTACATGAGTGACATCAAAGACAGAAATACTAGGAGAAGACTCAGAAAAGCCTGGCCTTTTTTGTGTGTATACAGACGGCCTGAAGCTTGGGGGTAGTCATCTGTGTTTGGATACCAGATGGGTTCCTGACTGTGGTGGGCAGAATGCAAACACGTGCATACCCTAACCCCAAGAACCTGTGAATGTACCACCCCTGACCCAGGAAAAGGGACTTTGCAAATATCATTAAATTGCTAACTTTGAGATTCAGAGATCATGACTATCTTGGGGCTCAATGAAATCACAAAGATCCTTAATAAGGTGGAAGAAGGAGGCAGAAATGACAGAGTCAAGAGCCATTTGAAGATACAACACTGCTGGTGTTAACAATGGAGGAAGGGATCCTGGGTCAAGGAGTGCAAGTGGTCCCTCAAAGCTTCAAAAAGCAAAGAAACAGACTCTCCCCTTGGGTCTTACCAAGGAAAGCAGCCCTGATTTCACCTCAATTTTAGCCAAATAAATCCATTTTATGCTTCTGACTTCCAGAACTTTAAAGAGAATAAATTCGTGTTGTTTTATTCACTAAATTGGTGGCAACTTGTTACAGCAGCAATACATATCTAATACACAGACTGGAGAAAAATCACTTGCTTCTGAACTTTAGTTCACCTTTTAAATGGGACTAAAAGAGACAACCCAGCCCAGTAATGTTGTGAGAAACACAGCAACACACGGGGTCTGTTGACACACACTCATTTCTATTTATCTTCCTTCCCTCTTGCCCTGTTAAGGGGTTGGGATGGATGGGAAGACTTGGAGTTAAAACAGGAATAAGCAATCTATTTAAAACTGGTGAAGACTTTTATAAGATAGTTATGTTAAATAAGTTAAAAACAAAAACATCGCGACCCTGTTGAACGAATCCGAAGAGTAGAATTTTAGTGCTACTGAGAGCCAACATACATAGCCAGGTACTTCATAAAAACCAAATCAAAGTGAAATCCAACACTGGAAGTGGGGAGAGGGAAAGAAATAGCGCTGCGGCAGGCGACTTGGGAAAGACCTTGTGGGTCTGGATTTTTAGCACCTGTGCTGGGTGCTAAGAATATTCATAACAGACAGGGGCAATCCAAGTTCTTATCTGGTGTGGGGCATCTATACTATGAGGCAATAAAAATTGAGGAGACCAATATTGTGTTTGAGCCCTTGAAAAATGCCAACAGTACTTTTATATTTGAGAGATGAAAACAGATGATCTTGGCTAGGCATGGTGGTACACACCTGGAATCCCAGGTACTCTGGAGGCTGAGGCAGGAGGATTACAAATTCCAGGTCAGCCTGGGAAACTTAGTAACCCTGCCTTAAATAATAAGAGACTGGGGAAGTAGTTGAGTGGTAGAGAGAATCCAAGTTCAATCCCAGTGCTGGGGAAAAAAAAAATGCCCCTGGAAATTGCCTGGATATGACTGTTCTCAATCCTACTGGCTGCCTACCAAGTCTGCATTCCTCTCCTTTTTCTCCCTAAGAGGTTCCTGACTGTATTCCAGCTTCTCTGTCTCCCCTACAGAGAGCCCTGTGGTGCAGGGGAAGGTCGACACTGCCCTGTGCTCCAGAAATGGATCTGGATTCCTCTAAACCTGTCATGGTGCCTTTGAGAATTTCAGCCTCAAGCCAAGCAGCATGCTCCCCCGACGCCCCCCAACAGTTACCGGTCAGGGTGAGCACAAGTTATAAGGGGGCAGGGGTGTGTGTCTCTCATTGGGAACAAAATGTACTTTGAAATGAGTTCAGATTAGAGATAATAGCAATAGATCAACCCTAAGTAGGGACAGTAATGCACAAATTGAATCCAACAAAGGAGTGCTAAGATACGGCTGGAATTGCAAAACAAGAACCAGGGATTGTAACAAATACACAGTGACAAATGCCTCCCTCCCTCTAGAGGGTTCTGTTTTATAAACATACACCCAACTGGCCTGACCTTGACAAAACCCTGCCAAGAGCCCCTTTTACATAGAGGTTACATATTTTATCCCCCAGCTACCAAATACACCTGGTAATCTGACCTGCTTTGAAGATTTACAAGGAAAAATTTTGCCAAATTCTAACAAGAGTCAAATCCTTCCTCAGTGTCATTTCATGGTATCTGAGTGTTATATGACATCATAAAAACTCAATGACAATCATTTCCCTCCTCTAGAAATGATTGAGACCAAGTTCAGCAGCTGCTTTACTCTCTCATATTACTAATTAGTATCTTTAGACATGATTTTTTTATAATCTCTCAGGGATTCTCTTTCAGAGATTTAAATATATGTATGTGTGTGTATATATATATATATATATATATATATATATATATATATATATATATAATTTGTATTTCCTTAATTGCTAAAGATGTTGAACTTTTTTCATGTATTTGTTGGCCATTTGTATATATATGTGTGTGTGCGTGTGTGTGTATACACATACATATACATGTATATGTGTATCTATAGAGAGAGAGAATGTACATACTTATATTCTAGTCCAGGGGTTGGTTCAAATTTATTGATTCTCATATTTTATTGAGGCATTATAATTGCACACAGTGGAGGAACTCACTGTTCTGTATTTGTGCACGTACATAATACAACCATATAATTTAGTCAATAATGTTTCCCAGTATTTACCTTTCCCAACCCCGACCCTCCCACTGGTTACTTTCCTCTCCTCTACTGATCTCTCTTCAATTTTCATGAGACCCCTGTACCCCACACCTTTCTTTTCCCTTTTCTTCTCTGTCTTCCTTATATGACAGAAAACATATGACTCCTGATTTTCTGAGTTTGGCTTATTTCACTTAATGTAAGTTTCTCAACTTCCAACTATTTTCCTGCAAATGACATAATTTTATTCTTCTTTATGGCTGAATAAAACTCTATTGTACACACACACCCTTTTCTGTATCCATTCATCCATTGACAGACACCTACACTGATTTTATAGTTTGGCTATGGTGAATTGTGCTGCTATAATCATGATGCATGCATCACTGGAGTGTGATGACCAACTCTTTAGGGTAAACACCGAGGGAGTGGTATAGCTGGGTCATCTGGTGGTTCCATTCCTAGTCTTTTAGGAACCTACATACTGATTTCCACAGTGGTTGTACTAATTTACAATCCCACCAACAATGTGAAAGTCTTCCTTTTTCTCTACATCCTCCCAAATTTATTATTGTTTGTATTTTTGTTGGCTCCATTCTAACCAGAGAGAGATGAAATCTCTGTGGACTTTTGATTTGTATTTCCTTAATTGCTAAACATAATGAACATTTTTTTTTCATGTATTTGCTGGCCATTTGTATCTCTTCTTTTGAGAATTGTGTGTTTAGTTCATTTATTCATTTATTAATTGGGTCATTTGGTGTTAAACGTTTTGTGTTCTTTTTGTATTCTGAATATTAATCCTCTGTTACATGAGTAGCTAGCGTAGACTTTCTTCTATTCCATGGGTTCTGTCTTCACAGGGAATTAGTATTTTTAAGACTTAAATATTCTCTAAATCTTCTTAGGGACAGAGGAGCCAAGGTGAAATTTAAAATAGGGCATGTGCCCAATGTGGTAATGCATGCCTGTAATCCCAGCGACTCAGGAGAATGAGACAGTAGGATCCCAAGTTCAAGACCAGTCTCAGCAACTTAGTGAGGTCCTATCTCAAAACAAAAAACCAAAGGATGTGGCTGAATTGGATTAGTCCCTGGTACTGAAAAAATAAAAAAAAATAAACAATATGAGCTTGTATACAGGGCACTCAAAAGATTTCTTAATAATTTCTGTCTATAAGTTATTAAATAGCTTGAGAGCCAAAATTTACCACCAAATTCTTAGGGGTTATGTACCTGAGTAAAGCAAGTACTTGCCTTTTCAGACAAAGAATGCTGAGTTTTCTTTGTAGGAAATCTCATTTTATAGAACTTCAGTGTAGCTTCGGAAATAATAGGAATTTCATTTATGGAGTATGTGTTGGTCTTGTTGAAAATAATTAGAGAAAGAAGAGTGTTGTTTGGTGTTATGATTTGGACCTGGAATGTTCCCCAAGGCTCATATGTGAAGGTTTGTTCCCCATTGCTGTCCAGAGGTGGGGCCTTCAGGAGGTGATGGGTCATGAGGGATGTGACCCCATCAATGGATTTTCTATGGAAAGGTTCATGATTTAATGGACTTTGGAAGGTGGTGGAAACTTCAGAAGATGGGAGCTAGTTAGAAGGAGCAGGTTACTGGGGGTGTATTCTGGAAGGGTGTATCTTGTCCCTGGTCCCTTCCTCTGTCTCTGTTTCTCTCTCTGTCTTTTCTGGCTGCATGGGGTAAGCAGCTTTGATCAGCTATCCACTATTGTCATGATGTTGTGCTTCATCACAGGAACCAGCTGACCATGGATTGAAGCCTCTGAAACCATGAGCCAAAATAAATCTTTCCTCATTTAAGTTGATTTCTTCAGGTATTTTGTCACAGTGATTGAAACTGACCAACCCACAGGGGTCAGAAGTAGAAATGATGGGTGAAATGGAGTGGTGGAGAGGAGAAGGGTAACAGTGGAGAGAAAGGAATCCCAGCTAGCCACGCACAAGAGGTTGATGGCTGAGGTTCTGAGGTATGTTTCTAAAACAGAGGCTCAGGAGATAAGGACTAGCAGCTAATCTTTTAGACAGCAAAATAGGAAAACAACATCATTTAGTGGGCGGGGGAAGAGAGAATCCCCTCTTAGAAAGAAAATGCTTTGAGCTGGGTGCAGTGGGACACACTTGTAGTCCCAGCTACCCAGGAGGCTGAGGCAGGAGGTTCACAAGTTTGAGG